TTTTACTGTAGGTTAATTTTGGATCCAAGTATGCTTTTGATTTTTCAATATACGGCGGTGTTATTGTCAATACGTTGTTCTTGGTGACCTTATGTGGTTTCAAAACAGTCCCAAGAAGGTCTAAGCAGCTGTTTAAGGCCTTTTATTGTGATTTTTGGTATTCTGTAGCTTTAAAACATTGTTGAATTATATTTCTAATAAACTTGTCGGCCTTTATTTTTGTTGCAGCCATCATATGTCGAGCTGTTGGCATTTTCTGACTCATATTTTAGCGGCAGAAATAGCAAATAATTATCTCTCGCTGTTGTATTTTTTTTTTCTCCAATTAAATTTCTGTTTTCTCTTTTGTGTCTCGGCAGCTGTTGAGTGGTAAAGGTGAATCTGTGGAGGGAATCAATGGAGAACTTCATGAAAAGGTAAAACCAAAAATATATATATAAATTATTCTGATCAACAGTTAGCTGTTAGCGTTTCTGCAATAAATACTGCATGTAAAATTTGCTAATGTCAATTTGCATTGCAGAAATTATCTTCAATAAAAGCAGCTAATGTAAAACTTCTGGTCCTCCATGTTTGAAACGAATGCAGGAATCCTGGTGGACTGTCGACTCACCCTCTTTAATATCTTGACATATTTCATGGCTTTGCATGAGTTTTCAGAAAGAACCTTCTCCATGAGGTGTGTGAAGCCTGTGTGTGTGTTTTCACAGAGCGTGAACGGGTGTGTTCCCTCGCTGTACCTCAGCAGAGACAGGAGGAGTGAGTTCATGAGAGGAGGAGTCGCTTCGGAGAAAGAGGCTCTGCTACTAGGTAAACCAGTTAGCATTAGCTTAGCCGGGGAGCCGCGATGTAGTTCAAGAAAACTGAATGCTAATTGTCAACGTTTTGTCAATTTACTGGCAAAAACGTAAGAAACGGTATCTTTGGGGGTATATTTTCTGAAAATACAAAGTATAGTAAACCCAAGGTAATCGTGAGTATTTAGGGACCACCACTACCCACAAATAGTTGAAGTATGAGAATACCTGAGATACTTCTAAAAACACTTATAACTGCATATTTTAATAGTTCAAACACCAAATATTCCCTAAAATGCGTTGAAGCGACTGTGGAAGCCGTTTCAGCCTTTACCGCCAGAGCTAACGTGCGGCTGTTCTGCGGAAAAAAAGTTAAATGCTTCAGCAGAAAAAGAAAACTGAGCAGAGATGCTTTGTGTTTGGGGGCATGGTCAACAGTTGGTGGTTGTAGCATCACAAAAATTAAGAAAGAAAATTAAATCTATGCTATTATGTGTTCATATGGTGTCCTGTGGGATAATTAAATTTAAACTGAATTTGGTAGAAATAACAAGTCCAGGTCCATTTTTCTTCAGAGAGCTGCTGCTGCTTTAATGTGATCCAGAAGTGACTCTTAGTGTTTCTGTTGCTCTGTTTCCATTACAAATGTGAACAAAACTTCTGTCAATATTATGTTAACATAAAAAAAAACAATTTCACAATTATGATGTTTCCATTAGATTAGAATCATAATTAAAATCACATGTGAATAAATTTGTTTTTTTGTGACGAGTGGTTGAAAAACATCCTCCTCCTACCACTTCCTGTCGTCTTCTTCTTCGTCTTTTCCGCCAGCGGCAACGTCTGGTTGTTGATCACGTGACTCATGTGATGCGAAAAAACTGTTTCCATTGTAGTTTTGCAAAATACACTAATTTCAGTGCGGCTGAAAAACTACCTCAGTGTAGCAAAAAAGTGTTTCATTGAACGTTTTTTCAAAATCGGCATGTTTCCATTATGCAAATCTATTGTCGTAATTCCAATTTAAGCAACTGTACGGTCAGTGGAAAGGCAACTGACTAGAAGCTGAAGACCAAACACTTCAAACCTGCGTGTTCAGGTTTAGACAACTTTTTTTTTTTTTGACCCTGTCTGCTGGCTTGACTTTAAAGAGCAGACAGAGTGTCGGGAGGCCGATTGTTGCTCCAGATGGATCGTACCAGAACGGTAAAGAATGTTGGCTGAGCCGCATCATATGGAGACATCAGCCATATAACCGTGAGTTTACAACACAGCAGCACCTAAAACATGAAAGATGGGAGGTGTCTGAACACCTGTTGGAGTTCATCCCACCTGAACTCCACCAGCAGCCGTTAGCACACAGACACGTTAGCTATCTGCACCGGATTTGTTTCAGACGCCTCTGTTTTATTTATTCATTTAAAAGCCCTCGTGCTCCACAAGCTGTGTGGCTGCTATTAAATGGAACGGAGAGATGTGTATTTGGGCTGCTGTGTCCGCAGCAAAAAAAATAAAATAAAATAAGCGGCGAAGAGAAACAGCACCAGCACATTTATCTCTCTTAGCGGCAAAGAAAAAAAATAATACAGATATGAGAAAAGAGGAGGCCCAGCTCCCAGCTCTCTGTCTTCGTCCAAGGCTGCCCTGCCTGTGAGCAGAGGAGGAGGATGGAAAATACAGAACATAAGCTGCATGATTTTAATGTAAACATTCGAAACACAGGACTTTGTGTGAATGTTTTAAGCACAGTTTTCTGAGGTCTTATGGCTGCCCTGGCGCTGTGTCTTTCACTTTATGGTTCCAGGGTAAACACACAGCAACACATTAAGAGTCACATTGTCCTTCCCCCAGTATTCAGCTCCTATAAAATGTATTTACCACCAAAAGAAAAGGTGCTTTACCCTTTTTTTTGCTTTTACAAATTGATCAAAATTGATTTTTTTTTTCTCCCAAAAGCCCTTCATTACCAACCTAAAAACTAATTTCTAAAAATTATGGACAGTCTGATACCCATAACTGGTCAAAGAATTAATCAGAAGGCATGTTAGGCTATCAGTGGTTGGACATACTCGGAGTGTTTGGTATCCTAAGGTGAAGTGAATCTTCCTCAGTGCAGACAGAGCGTCAGCATGGCGTAGCATGACATTAAATCGTGTTTCTATTAGCTAACTGCTACATGCCACATCTGTAGTTTACGGTTTTGCAGTTATTTTCCACGTTGCAAACACTTGCTCCATTTCCATCGAGCATATAATTGCGCAAATTGGAATTATAAAAATAAATTTGTTTAATGGCAACACGCCAACTCACGTTTTGCAGTAAAACTTATTTGTGCTTGGATGAGTTCTCCACCCCCCCCCACGGCTGTATCAAAATGAGCGTATTTTGCAAAACTGTAACAGAATTTTTTTCGCACACGAGTCACATGATGAACAACCAGATGTTGCTACTGAGGGAAACCACAAAGAAGACGACGACAGGAAGTGCGTAGGAGGATGACGTTTTTTAACGACTTATCGCGTGAACAAACTTATCCACGTC